CCCATGCACCCCCCCCCACACCTCCAGTCCCCCAAACCACAAAGACCCAAAATGATTGAATGCCATAAAAACGCGCAAACTAACCTGTGTGCGTCCTTTTGTGGATTTTGAGGTTTTCCGAGCGCGCGAAGACTTTGCCGCAGCCGGGGAAGGGGCACGGGAAGGGCTTTTCGCCCGTGTGCACGCGGATGTGGTTGACCAGCTTGTATTTGGCTTTGAAGGGCTTGCCCTCGCGTGGACACGCTTCCCAGAAGCAGATGTGGTTGGCCTGCTCGGGCCCGCCGACGTGCTCCACGGTCACGTGCGTGACCAGCTCGTGCATGGTGCCGTAGGTCCGCGCGCAGCGCTTCTCTGCCGGTTCCAGCCACTTGCAAATCAGCTCTTGCTTGATGGGCTGCCGCATATAGCGGAAGAAGGCGCCGCTTCCGTGGGGCGGATGCTGGTGCGGGTGCGGGTGGTGAGCGCTCAGGTTCAGGTTGAGCCCTCCGTAGAAGGCGTCGGCTCGGGTGCCCGCCGCTAAGTGCTCCGAGCGCACGTACACGTCCCCCGGTAGTCCCAAACGCAGTTGGCCGCCCGGAGGCTGCTCTTGGTGCAGCCCGGAGAAGAGCGCATGGCTGCCGGCGTCGTGCCCGTAGTGCGCTGGGTAGCTACCTGTTGTCGAGAGACACATTCCGGCGTGAGAAGCGGCAGCGGCGGCGTGCTGGTGGTGCTGGTGGTCAGCCAGACCCGGCATGGCGCGGAAGAAGTCCCTACCTGCGGTAAGAGCTTGGGCCGGGTGCGTCATACCCGAGTAGGGCACCGGCGTCGCCCCGAAAGCTCCCGTTTGACTAGAGACCACTTGACTGTGGCCTGCCATGCGATGATTGTGCTGAGGCTGGTGCTGCTGGTGATAATGATGGGCTGGGCTGATTTTGAGGGCCGCCGAGTGCCCCATGTGTTCTGGCCCGAATGGACTCGGCCCCAGGCGGGGTTCCGCAGTCATCTCCCCGGGGTGCGCGTGAGCCATTGAGTGCGGATGGCTGCCGAGCCCCAGGAAGCCTGTCACGCTCGGAGGGACGGGGTGGCGGGGATGATGATGATGATGGCGATGATGATGGTGGTGAGCCCCCGCCAAGTCAACTAATCTCAGCGCCGCGTTCCGTTTGGAGAAGGCAGGGTCCATCGCGGGGCTTCCCAGCGCATCGGCGCTCATTACTGCCCTTTTTTTTTTTTTGGGTTCTTTATTTTTTTTGCACTTGACAGCGGGCAAAACAATAATGATGATAAATGTGTTTTAATCGCAACTCAAAAAAAAAAAGGAAAAAAAAAACTTTCTAAAGTTGCGCCTAGCGGTGGGGCTACATTCGCTGGGCAGCAGGACGCATTTGATGGAGAATAGCGGCTCGCGGTGGGCGCTCGCAGCCCGCCGAGCCCAACAATCGGGCCGCGCTCTAATTGGTCAGAGGCGGTTGATTGACGTCACCGGTGACACTTTTCCAACCAGAAGAAAAATGGTGACGAGCGATTGGAGGGGCTGCGCATGCGCGCTGCCGTCAGGCAACAGCACGGAGGGAAAAAAAAAAAGTTATGCAAAGCGTTATTGTATCATTAAAAAAGAAGGGGGGTAGTGTAATCCGGATACATGACGGATTCTCTTTTGTGTTCGGAGGTTCCACAACTTTATTTCACGGGATTAAAAAGAAATCTTGGTCAGGGCGCATTTGGTCCATCTCGTGTGATATCTTCATTTTTTTTTTAAAAACAGTTGCCAAGGGGAAAGTCGCCTTTACAGGGAGGACGGTCCAAAAATCATAAAAGCCAGCAAAGCTTGCATGACGCCCTCCCGTTTTTTTTTTTTTTTTTTTTTTTTGTGGTTCCGCTCGTTTGGCGCAGATTTCAGAATCACCACGCCGCCTCCCTCTCGTCGTCGTCGTCCAAAAATGAAATCAAACAAACATGTCGGCGAGGACCTGTTGTCACAATCCGGGCTCATTTGCTTTGTCGGCGTCGGAGGCGAAGCGACTGCAAGCAGCAGATGGTTGCCAGAGGAGGTGGCGCCTGCCCGTGCAGGCTGCCGCTTTTGCATGCATGCAGGCACGAGGGGGGAAGGAACGCTCTAAAAGAAAAACGGAGTGCGAGTACGAAAGAAGTAAGCCGATGGAAAAGCCGAGCTTGTTCGCCACGTTCTACGTCGGAATGAAGCGAAACGAGGCACTTTTGAGCACACGAGAACGCAGCAAAGGGTAAAAAGTGAGTTTTTCTTGCCGGGAATTTGCAACGATATGCAAGAGGCTCGAAATATGCATTCAGTCATGTGCTCTTATAAAGCTAAAAAAAAACCCAATAATAATCAGAGCCGGTTTCAAGTAAAATAGTCAATGCATTAGAAAACGATCCCATAATAGAATGCATACCGAATGTCTCCCACAAATAGCCCCTTCCATAGTTTTGAATTACACACATTTGCACGCTCCAAAACAGCTTGATAAACAATTTTGCGAGCCATCCCCTCTATCAATATTGACTCACTTTTTTTAAGTGCAGGACGCTGTTAGCCAAGGGTGTGACATTTTACAACAAACAGGAAAAGGAAAGTTTCCTGGTTTTTTTTTTTCTTTTTTAAGGCGTTCTAATATTTGCAAAGCGAGTGGCGAGTTGTGGGGATGTTCATGATTTTGACTTTGAAAACAAACTGCAAATAAAGTCCACTTGTAGGCTGTTTACTTTAGAAATCCAAAGAGAGTAAAGAAAAATCAAGCTTGTTTTTTTGGACACTTTTCGGTCCAATTTTTACTCTGAGTCAGCACAAAAAGCAACATCATGTTTTCCCTAGTGTACATAGAATCATACATTCCAAACAAAGGGAAACTTGCTTACAAAAGAAAAGAAACAACGTCATACAGCACCTTCAAATAAGTAAAAAATGTGTGTGTGCGTGCGCGCAGGCGAGTGTGCGTGTGGAGTCGATTCCTTTTTTTTTTTTAATGGCTCGCATGGCATTAAAAAAAAAAAAAAAAAAAAAAAGAAAAACGCCTGCATGTGGATTTTTGAACTCCGGGGCAGCCGCAGGTTCCTGCCGCAAATCCCACTTGATAAATTCTACAACCCACAACGTTTTAACACACACACACACACTTGAGAATTTATTGGCCAGCGTAGCCAGTCCAGGTGGAAGGCGGGATGCTTAAAATGGACGATCAAGTCGACTGTATTTTATCTGAAAGAAATTTCTCACACAAACCTTTCAGAAATGTGTAGCCCATTTGGTGCCCTCTCCATTTTTTTTGTAACAGCAGAGTTATTTCTGCACCCCCAAAAGTTGGAAATTCAAGAAAAATAACTCACACGTTGTGAAGAAACCGTTTTTGGTTGATTTGATTATTGATGAAGAAAAGTGGAAGGTTTTGGGACAGACACGTCACACAACTGCCGGGTAGGTGGATTCCACTAGTAAGGAACCATTTTTGGTCACAATAGAAGTGCTTCCCCCCCCCCCAAAAAAAAAAGACAGGTACGAAGTTGAGGAAATTATGTGAACTGGGCGGGAGTAGAGGACGACAAATAAATGGGACACTTTTTAGATTATTTTTTCTCAATTTCCTGAAAAAAATGCGACACACCTTTTGGGAGTGATTAGCTAACTGGAAGGTAGCATTTTTGGAACTAGGGGTGAATTCTTTGGAAAGTGGGAAATTCAAGGAGTGTTTGAGGAAAAGATGTGGGACGTACCTTTTGGGAATGTGTAGCCATTGGTGGCTCCAAGGCAGTGATTTTGAAAGAAAAAAAGAGTGGAAAGTCGAGAAAAAGGACAATGGAGGTTTTATGAAAAGACAACAGAGACTTGTATTGGGAAAGTGCAGTGAAAAAAACCGTTTTTTGTTGACAAGGGAGATAATTTCTCACCAAAATTGGTACATTTAGGAAAAAGTGAAGTTGGAGGAGGGGGGGGGGGTCTCATAGGAAAATACAGAAACAGTCCAGGAAAAAAAGATGTAGAGAATGTGTGTAGCTCAATGCAGAGGAACCATTTTGGGGATAACAAAGGTGTTCTTTTTTTTTTTTTTTTTTTTACAAGAAAAGATGGACGTATCCAAAAAATACGTGACATACTCTTTGGAAATGTGCACTTAATTTGGAAGGGACCCATCTTGGGTAACAAGTTGATGATTTCTTCGACAAAGGAAAGGATAACCGTGAAAATATGACAACCAAAAAGCTCATCGTTATCTTAAATGCATTTTTGCTCAACTTAGTTCCCAAAGTTAAAAAAAAAAAAAGTAATCGTTTGGTTTCCGAAAGCATTCACATATGACTTTTGCCATTTTTTTTCACCAAAAGTAAAGATATTAGTCCAAAAGGTTTAAATGTCACCAACTATGAGGGGTTAAATAAGATGCGGCGTTGTTTGTATTTTGCCTGTGTTCATATATTTATGATAATGTCAAATATCCACCCCCCCCCCAAATAAAAAAATAAATAAGTCCTACATGGCTTGATGATGCAAAGAGGCCAATCGTCTTGCAACGTGGATTGTTATTTGGTGAGTGGATGTTATTGAGGAAAGGTCGGGGGGGCTTGTTGGCGCCCACCAATCGGCAGCGGCGGGGGCCTCACGTGACCGCCCACCGCACACACCCCTCCCCATTCATCAGGGCTGGACCGCGCGTCGTCTTTGCAATTCATTTATCTGCAGGAATGATCGCAACTATCAGTCCGCATCTCAGCGGCCGAGCGAGGAGGTGAAAGTCGCGCCGCGGGGAGATCGAGCGTGCCTAAAACAAAACACGAGAGACAATAGCGGGCGTTTTTTTTTTTTTTCGGGGGGCGAGTAGGCGTAAGATGCGCGCGAGAGGGGCGCCCTAGAAAGTAAACAAGACTCGGGTGGATTTCGGAGGAGTTGGGACGCGATAGCGAAAGTGAAGGAGGGGGGCAGAGGGGAGGCGGGAGGGACGAATATCTGTGCGTGATTTTTTCAGCCGTGTCCTCAGTCGCGTCGGCGCGCGCACAGACCGAGTGGGCGAAGATGCTCCTGGACGCCGGCCCTCAGTACCCCGCCATCGGAGTGAGCACTTTCGGCTCCACGCGGCACCACTCGACGGGCGAGGTGACGGAGCGGGAAGTGGCGCTGGGCATCAACCCGTTCGCGGACGGCATGGGCGCCTTCAAGATTAACCACGGCTCCCACGAGCAGACGGCGTTCTCCACGCAGGCGCCGGCGGGCTACGCGGCGGCGGCCGCCCTGGGCCACCACCACCATCACCACCACCACCACCACCCGGGCCACGTCGGCTCTTACTCCACGGCGGCCTTCAACTCCACGCGGGACTTTCTGTTCAGGAACCGCGGGTTCGGCGAGGCGGCGGGCGCGCAGCACAGCCTCTTCGCCTCGGCGGCGGCGGCGGCGGCGGGCGGCTTCGCCGCGGGACCCCACGGACACTCGGAGGCGGCGGGCCACCTGCTCTTCCCGG